TCTCTCTCTCTCTCTCTCTCTCTCTCTCTCTCTCTCTCTCTCTCTCTGGCATAGTAATAGGGTTGAACTCAAGTCCTCATGCATGTTAGGCAAGTATTCTACCACTGAGTTACATCCTCATCCTTTTTAAAATTTCATTTTGAGACAGGTTCTCACTTAATTGCCAAGGTTAGCCTTGAACTTGTGTTCCTTCTGCCTGAGCTTACCAAGTAGCTGGGATTATAGGAATGCACCACCTGGGTGTATTGACTTTAATTTATGTGACAAAATGGAAGAAATTTGTATAACTGAAGAAGTGAATCTTTGTAAAAGAGTGACTTTATTTCTTTTAGGCAAGGTGAAACAACTTTTGTAAACTTTCCTAGACTAGAATGCTAATTTGTTATCTGGTTTACTTAAAACAACAAAAACACTGAAGTAGCCACTTAGTGGTGCAGGTCCTTAATCCCATCTGTTTGGAAACCGAGGCAGGAGGATCACAAGTTGGAGGCCAGCCAGGGCAACTTAATAAGACTGTCTCAAAATAAAACATTCTGGGAATATAACTCAATGGTAATGTGTCCCTGGGTTCAATCATTAGTTCCAATTTTTTTTTTTAAATTAATAAGGGATAGGAATGTAAATAGGGTAGAGCTTTTGCCTAGCTTGCACGAGCTCCTGGGTTCAATACCTACTACTGCAAAAAAAAAAAAAAAAAGCTAGTTTGGGCTTTCCATTATTCATCAGTTTATTGAATACCTACTCAGTGCAGACTGTGTTAGGTAGATACTATGAGGAATAAAAAATGAATATAGTTAACTAAGAAGGATTAATAAAATAATGTTCAGAGAAGATGAAAGGAAGTAGGGATTCAGTGACCAAATTGGAGAAAAGTACACAGGCACACTTTTCTTCCAGACAGCTGGAAAGGAAATGAGTTCATTTCTTAATTTTTCTCTCAAGTAGTAGGCAGAGTTCTCTGTCATGAATGACTGAGTTTGGGATATGGTTGATGGCAGATGGCATCTAGTGCATAGTGAGGTTTAGTTTAACACTGGAATGAGCAGAAGAATGGCACAGTGCAGGCCTCAAAATTCCTTCTAATGACTCCTCTATTAAGGAATGTCATTGCCCATGAAAATGTGCCACCTCTTGATTACCAGTTGGCTAAGGGACATGTTCCTTCCTTTCTCCATTTCAATGTTTACTAAAACTGTGCATTTATATTTAAAAGCAGCTCAAGTGGGGCTTTTCTTAAGTTTAGAGTACTTCAGTTATGAAAGAAAAATTGACAAAATGATTCCATGGAGACCTCTAACCATATTGTGGTAATGGAACTACTTTCACTTCTGGTAAAGTAGCTTGCTCTGGACCATTTCCATTAATCATACTGCAGTGACAGTTTGAAATATGGTCAAATTTTGTTTGGTGCATTTTGGATATTAAGAACAAAATGGCTTATATGTATAAAATGTTGTCTTTGTGAGCCTTATATAATATTTTCTACAAATGGAAATGGAAGTTATGTCACCTACTTCAGAGAATAGAATTGTCTAAATAAATAGCAAAAGCTCTGTCTTTATCATATATTTCCCAAAATATTATATTATGGAATTTGTTTACTAATCATCACATTTGGAGACTTCAAAAATTGAGCTTTATTTCTTATATTTTTTAGGAGACCCGTGTACAGTATCATCTCAGTTGGAGTTAGAAGAAGCCTTTAGGCTTTATGAGCTAAATAAGGATTCAGAACTCTTGATTCATGGTAAAAGAGTAATCATTTCATACTCTTCCTGGAGTTTTGTTTTTTGTTTTTTTTTTTTTTTTAAGAAATGACCCTTTATTATTGATCATTTTTTAAACACAATCCTGATATAATTTTCTTAATCTTTGTGCCTTATTCATATGTAATTGTCTTTTTTCAGTAGTTTCTCAAATGGTAGAAAAAGTAAAATCAATCTGCTTCTTATAGTCTTGGGAAATTTGTTACCTGTATATGCCTTCTTGGATGTTAAAATATGATCTTCCAGGGTCTTCACAGCAGTCTTAAGATAGGTTGTTGAGATCCTAGTAGACCATTTATTATTTTGCTCATCTTTTTCTAGTATAAAATTATAACAAATGCTTAAAAAAAATTAACTTATTTCAGCTTTTAAAAATATGTAATATTAGAAATTGAACACTTACTGTATTCCATGCTCTTATTAAATAAACTTGTGTCCTTTAGTACATCATAGACTATAGTAGCTGATAAGTTCATAAATATACTATTGCTTTTTATTCTACCTCATTATAGAAATGGTCTGATTTAGTATTTTTTATAAACTTATAGCTCCTAATATGAACTTACATTTTTGAATTTTTGGTACTGTTTCTAGTATTACTTTATTTCTAAATTTACTTGACATCTTTAAAAATAACTCTGGTATTTTGTTTCATATTTGTATGTATTTTTATAACTTAATTCTTCATGGTAGCAAAGTTATCACTAAAACAAGGATTTAAGGAAGTACTAGTTAATTTCTTTAAGGACAAAGAATAATTAGTAATGAGAGATTGGATTTAGTAATTTGAGTTTCTAATGCCTTGTTAATAGACATATTTGCTTTTATAAAAACTTCTTTTATACAATCTTAGTAATTTTATATAATTCATATGCTTTAAATATGCTGTTAATTAATTTTCTTTTCTTTCAGTATTCCCTTGTGTGCCAGAACGTCCTGGGATGCCTTGTCCAGGAGAAGATAGTAAGTGTTTGTGTACTTTTTACATTGAAAAGAGTTATTTATGTGATGGCACAAGTCCAAAGAAGTCATAAATAGAACTTTTAATTAATTTGATTTCTTTTCCATTTTTTCAGTCCAATTTAGAATATATTAGTGACTGCCTATGTTCTTCTTTTGCCAGATGAAATTCAGATAATTAATTACAACTCACATACTTGTCTGTTGTACATATAAAAGGAAAACTAAGTTAAATTTTAAGTCATGTGGCTTCATGTTTTTTAATTTTGGAAATTTTCAAATCTAAGAAAACAAGAATACCATATATCCTTTGCACAAATTTACCAGTTATTTATATTTTCTCTGATCGCTTTACCTCTGTGCCTCTGTGTAAATATATGCACACACACATATATATTAAGAAGCACACATTTGTTTTATTTTTATTATACCATATGATAGTAAGTAAGTGACATGACTCTTCACCTCCGAATACTTCAGCTTGTTTCTTAGTAATCATTATGGAAATTCTTTTGAGTGTCTAAGCTGATGATTATATTTGGATTGTTTTTATGTTGCTGGGACTCAAACCCATGACCTTTCACTTTGCTCAAAACCAGGGATACATTCTACCACTGAGCCACACCTCCAACCCAGATGGTTATTATTAATAAGATAAAATGAAGGAATCAACTATTGTTTGTTCTGACATAATTTACATATGCAAACTATTTTACTGTAAGTTACTACTCTTTGGTATATGGTATAATGCATTAATTATGGATATTAGCTCATTTTCATTTATGGTTTCTGCTTTCTGTACATATCTGTGACTTCAGAAGAAAAATAGCAGTGAATGTTTTACTTTGAATTAAGTGAAATTTCAAGGTCTGAAGTTCTAATTCTGTGACTTCATACTCCATAGTAAAAGGGGAAAATTGAAAAATTTTGGGTGTTAATATATGGGGTTAAATGGGATCCATGTATTGTATAAGAAGATGGGGTGACTGGGGTTGTGGCTCAGTGGTAGAACACTTTCCTGGCATATGTGAGGCTCTGGGTTCGATCCTTAGCACCAAATATAAATAAACAAATAAAGAAAAAATCCATTGACAACTAAAAAATATTAATTAAAAGAAGAGGAGGAGGAGGATGGGGAAATTAAAAAAATAGGTGGAACCTTGAGGCAGTTGTTAAAAATGCACATTTGGATTTAACTAGAAATGTTTCTCTAGGGTTCCAGGTGCAGAATGATTAAAGCCACATAAGCTACCTTCACCCAGCTGGATTTCTTTGTCCAAAGCCAGAATTTCAAATTACTTGCCATTGTAGAAGATCTTCCTGATTCCAGAGTCCCATCCTCATCCAAGTCTATCATAAATCTGTAGCATGCTTCTCAGATAAAATATAATTTCCCAGCTTTTATTATAGTTCATGCTTAATTTCCATTTTTACATTTACTGGTGGAGATTTTTACATCACCCCTCCACCAGTAAAATATATATTACTAAACTAGGGCATGGAGGAAAACTGATGAGGTCTCTTGGCCCTTTTAATTCTCAGGCAACATTAAAATGCTTAAGGTATGTCAAGGTAGTTCAAAAAAACTTCTGAAATGGAATGTTCTTTCAGGTTAAAATATTATTAACAGAACTGTTCTACTTTGGCTATTGCTAGCAATATAATTAAAGCAAATGCATCTGTATTTAAGGTTATGCTATCTGAAGATTTCTAATTCAGAGTATTACAACTGGTCTTTTCTATTTTAATGTGAAATAGTGAACTCAATGCGACATTTGCTTTAAAATATGAATTTAGACCCAGTGGCTCGGGAAACTGAGACAGGAGGATCATAAGTTCAAAGCCAGCCTTAGTAACTTAGCGAGACTATGAGCAAACTTAGTGAAATCTGTCCGAAAATAAAGAATAAAAAGGGTTAGGGATATTACTTAGTGGTTAAGTGTCCCTGGGTTCAGTCCCCAGTACCAAATAAAAATAATAATAATAAAGAATTTAGAAACTTAATTAATCTTTCCCTAGTATTAGCTATAGAGGTGAAATGTTATGACTAATGACTAATAGACAATATATGTGATAGTCTTAACCAAAATTATGGTGGCCTGGACTGGACAACTTGTGGAACCTTTTTCTCTAAGTGTGTTTAAGAAAAGCATTAACATAAAACTGTTGGATAAAAGTTGTTGGGGAAGAAGATACTCTTGTGGTTACAAAATATCAAATTGCTTAGGTAAAATACTGTCTATTCTGGTTTCTCTTTGTGTAAATATTTCACCTTTTCACAAAGCAAAATGTACCTTTACAATGTAGAGATCTGCAGTCGCTACATTTAACAGTGTAATGTAATGGGAGGCTACATTCTAACATTTGTGTGCCTCTTGATGTACTGCCATAAGAAATACACATCATCTATATGTTATTTTTTGGCCAAAAGTATTTAATACTGACCCATGAGGAAATAGACAAATCCGGAATATAAAACGTAAGACAACTAAAACTCCAAAAAAAAAAAAAAAAAAACATGAAAAAACTAAAATATATAAGACAGAATGAATGTTTTATAATAAGGGATTAAGAAAAAAAAATGAGATGCCTGACTCTTGATTAGAGCCTAGATAGAAAAAGAGTTTTAAAAGACACTTTTGGAGCAATTAGGAAATTTTTGTATATGAACTCTATATTGGGTGATACTGAATTAATGTTAATGTCTAAGACATAGGAAAGATACTGTGGTTATGAGAATGACCTTAATCTCAGGCAGTGAGTAGTTAGTTAAGGGTGTTTAAGCTTTATGATGTCTGCATCTGGACTTCCAAATGTTTGAGGGAAGAAAATAAATTATATTTTTTATAGAGAGGAAAGCAAAGGTGACATAACATTAATAATTGGTAAAGCTACAGAGTGCAGGTTTTGTGTTTCAGCTTTCTGTGGGCTTAAAGTTTTTTTAAAATAAAAACGTTTGGGTTGGGTGCAGTGGCAGATACCTATAGTCCCAACAACTCTGGAAGCCTAGGGAAGAGGATCACAGGTTCAATGCCAGTCTCAGCAATTTAGCAAGGCCTTAAGCAGTTTAGCAAGACCCTGTCTCACAAAACAAAAAGGGCTGTGGAGGTGGTTCAGTGGTTAAGCACCCTTGAGTTCAATCCCTCTACCAAAAAAAAAAAAAAAAAAAACAACCTTGGGGTACATTTAAAAAAAAAAAAAAGCAATAGTAATAATTGCAACATTTATACCGCCTGGTCTTTATTTTCATTTAGTTTTGAAGAACATGTTTTACTTTTTCAGTTAATGGTTTTTATCAGTATATATTTTTTTCCTGTAGTGAATATCATGAAAAAAAAAATAACAAACTTAATTATAAAATTACTTCTATTCATACTTGCTCTTTTTTTCTTTTCTTAACTTTTAACCTTTTCAGAATCCATCTACCGCAGAGGTGCCCGTCGCTGGAGAAAGCTTTATTGTGCAAATGGCCACACTTTTCAAGCCAAACGTTTCAACAGGGTAAATTTAGTTTGTTGGATGTTGGTAATTTGAGACATCTTTTTTTTTTGTCCCCCTATGAAAGTTAGTTATTTTGTCCCTAAATCTTTTAGTCACTTTTGAAAAAGTAGCAGAGCCTTACATTCCCAGTTTAACTGGGGTAGTATACCTGTATTTTTAATAGCATATCCTTTTGTACTTTGTTTTTTTCTTTTTCAGTGTTGAAAGTTCAACCCAGGGCTTTGACATGCTAGGTACTCTACTGTTGAGCTACACACCTAGCCCCTTTCACTCTTAAAAATGCTCCAAGTTGGGCTGGGATTGTGGCTCAGTGGTAGAATGCTTGCCTAGCATGTGTGAGGCACTGGGTTTGATTCTCAGCACCACATATAAATAAATAAAGGTTCATCAACAAATAATAAATTTTTTTAAATGCTCCAAATTAGTTTATTAATTATGTGGTTACCCTAGCTATAAGAAATTTGCATTTTAAAATATAATCCAAACAAAACAAAATGTAATTCAAGACAGTTCAGAAAATTATCAAGGTTTGTTTTGCAAACCATTTAATGTTGTAATTTAATTTTCATTGTTTAGAAAATAAATAGCAAATGCTTATCTAGCTTTTATACTATATCAAGCAGTTTTTAAAAATATTATTGTTCCCCACATTTTTTATTGGTGAATTATGGTTGCATGTAATGATGGGATTTGTTGTTACACATTTATACATGCATACTATATAACAATATAATTTAATCAATATCAATCCCCAGCACTTGCCCTTTTCTCCCTACCTCTCACCCCTTAGTCCCTTTCCTGTACTGATCTTCCTTTGATTTTCATGAGATCCACCTCTACCTTTTTTTTTTCCCTTTTCCTCTCTAGCTTCCACATATGAGAGAAAACATACATCCCTTTACCTTGAGTTTACTTATTTCACTTAACATAATGGTCTCTAGTTTCATTTGTTTTCCTACAAATGACATAATTTCATTTTACTTTGTGGCTGAATAGAACTCGTGTGTGTGTGTGTGTGTGTGTGTGTGTGTGTATGTGTATGTGTATGTGTATGTGTATCACGTTTTCTTTACTCATTTATCCATTAATGGACACCTAGGCTGGTTCCATAGTTTGGCTGTTGTGAGTTGTGCTGCTATAAACATGGGTCTGCATATATTACTGTGGTATGATGACTTTCTTTTTTTATTCATTTTTAAAATTTGTTCTTTTTAGATATATATGACAGTGGGGTATATTTTGAATTATATCAGGCAATTTTTCCAGTGCTTTTATGTATATTCATTTAATCCTTATAACAACTCTATGAGATAACTAGTATATAATTTAATTTTGTAGATGAGGAAAATGAAATGTAGGGCAGTTAAGTAACTTGCCCAAGATGACACAGCTAGTAAATGGTAGAGTCAAGGTTTGAAAGCAGGCAGGCTGTCTCCAGAAGACCATGTTTGTTTGTTTATAATGTTTTTTAGATGCTGATGGACCTTTATTTTATTCATTTATTGTATATGTGGTGCCAAGAATCAAACCCAGTGCCTCGCACATGCTAGGCAAGCACTCTACCACTGAGCTACAACCTCAGCCCAGAAGACCATGTTTTTAAATTTTTTGTAAATACAAATTTATGGACTTAATTTCTATTCTGAAATTAATGTTATGTACTAAATTAATTAAAATTCATGAAATTAGAAATTCATGAAAATAGAAACAGCTAGCTGGGATCCCAATAGCACTGATATTAAAAATGTCTAACAAATGAAAAGTCACTTCAGGTATTGCTGTTCAAGTACACAAGGCTGTGAGCCATAGTGGTGCATGCCTATAACCCAACAACTAGGAAGGCTGAAGCAGGATGATGGGAAGTTTGAGGCTGGCCTCAGCAATTTAGAAAGACCCTGTCTCAAAATATAGATAAATATGTAGATAGATTTATAGACAGATGGATTGATCAATCTGGGGATGCATCTCAGTGGTAGAGCACCCCTGGGTACATTCCCCAGTGGTGGAGTGGGGAAGCAGGGCTTTGGCCCTGTGTGGTGGCTCATACATATAATCCCAGCCACTCAGGTTAAGGCTGGAGAATTGTAAAATATGAGGCCAAAACAGGACTTTAATTTGACCCTTGACAGTATGAAAAGTCTTATGGTTTTCAAGTTAATTCATTGTTTCTGCTTTCATTACTATGACTTAATTATGAAAATTTTTTGACCTTAATAACAAACAGCAACATGATTGCACACGTCACTATCTCCTTAAAACAAGCTCCCTTTCCTGTTTCTCTTTCACTGAACTTCATAGCTTTTGAAAAATTATATGTAAGGAAAGTTTGTTTTGTTTTTTCATGTGCTGACAATTAACACCACGATGAAGAGAATTGAGTTGAAGAAAAAAACCACTTTCACTCTTTTATGAGCAAACTCTTGGTAATGATTATAACCTTTTTTTGTTTGTTAATAAAATATTTTTGGCAGCGTGCTCATTGTGCCATCTGCACAGACCGAATATGGGGACTTGGACGCCAAGGATATAAGTGCATCAACTGCAAACTCTTGGTTCATAAGAAGTGCCACAAGCTAGTCACAATTGAATGTGGGCGACATTCTTTGCCACCGGTAAGACACAGTTGTCTTTTTTTTTTTTTTAAATATAGTATGCTTGATAAACTATGAAAACAAGGTTAACAAGATTTTGGGCTAGGGTAGTAACTCAGTAGTAGAGCTTTTGCCTAGCATGTGTGAGGCACTAGGTTTGATCCTCAGCACTAAATAAAAATAAGTAAATAAAATAAAGATAGTGTGTCCATCTGCAACTAAAAAAATATTTTTTAAAAATAGGGAGATGTTAAAGAACATCTCAAAAAATTGTTAGTGGGTAGGAACACTTTACATTCCACTTGATATATTGTGAACTTTGTAACTTTTGAAATACTTATGATAATATTTATTTGTAGGATGTAGTTTTCTTCTTTTTGACCTATAAAATTCTCTGATTCTCTGGTTAAGATATAGGAAGAACTATTTAAAAGACTTTTTTCTCTTCTTTAAATTCTTTATAGCTCCCATTATTCTATGCTTAAGCAAAAGAGTTAGGAGTATCTCGTTTGCTATTTAAAGTGTGGGATTACTGGGGGAAAAAAGCATTTAAAATTTTGATTTTTCTCTTCATATTTTACCTATGAATTAAGGCACACTTAGACAAAATAGAGAATGCAGATGAATACAGGAAAAATTAGTTAAAAATTCTCATAGGCCAGGGTTGTGGCTCAGTGGTACGGCGCTTGCCTAGCATGCATGAGGCACTGGGTTCGATCCCTGAAACCACATAAAATTAAAAATAAAGGTATTATGTCCATCTACAACTAAAAATAAAAATTAAAAAAAATATTCTCATAAATTCTGCCATCTAAAGGTAATTGTCTTTTGAGCTATATATTTCCAAAAATTTTCTTATGCAAATTTATTTACATGAGCATTTTCAATTTTTATATATGAAAAATATATAAACATATAAGCATAGGTGAAACCGTACAATGGTGGGTGGATGGAGCAGTCCCCCAGCCTTAAAAGTTAACACTTAATGATCAGCTTTATTTTCATCTATTTCCCCCCACTAAACTTTTCCTTGCCCAGTGTTATTTTGAAACTTATATATTTCAGTATATACTTCTAAAAGAGGCTTTTTAAAAATATCTAACTAGAAAAAACAAATTTCTTATTTCAAATATCCATCCAGATAATGCTCAAAATTTCAGTTGTTCCATTAGTGTCATAATTTTGGTTTTTGTTTTCATTAGGAATCAGGATTAAATTGTAATTGATTCATATCTCTTAGATATTTTTAAATTTACTAGTTCATCCCCTGTCCTTTTTTTCCTTATAATTTTATTGTAGAAGACTAGTACTTATCCAACAGAAGGCATGTGTATTGAGTGTCTCTTTTATGTACCTTTTAACAAAAGTGAAGTCATATGCATCCTATTTTTTAACCCATTTTTGTCACTGAACAATATAATCTGGTCATCTTTCTATGTGTATTTATAGCTAGTATAAATACACTTCTTAGCATAGTAATTTGTTACATGTCTCTACTATAATTTATTTAACCTGTGGTTGATTATAACTTACTTTCCTGGGGTTGAACCATTAGGGTTGTTTATAAAGAAAATCATGATGAACTGCATGATAAATAAATCTTATTTCCTTAAAGATCCAGCAACAGAATTACTAGGTTAAAAGAAATGCATTTTTAGAAGGAATAGGATGCATCTTTCTAAATTGTCCTCTACAGTGATTATATCATGTTTATTTATTGGCCTTCTTTGGACATTTATTGAAAGTAGGATATTACTGTTAGCTCTTCAGTATTGGAATTATGGAGTGAGTTCATAGAAGTTTAGGAATGGGTTTAAAGTTAAGGTGGGGGGGGAATCCAATTTTAAGGAAAATCAGAAGGCTACAAATTATAAACATAATTTTCCTGGTTCCTAATGATATTCCTGAGTATTCCTAGGTGATAAAAAGACTTGTGTGTTCATACATGTAGAAGAAAGAGGGATAGTGTTATTGTTACTTTAAGATAGAGGTTGAATTTCTTCAAAAATCCATACCCTTCAAAGCCTGTCATTAAGTAGTTTTAAAATTATAATTGTGTATCTAATGTTCTTCCTCAAGTTTACTTCTTCCTGCATTAAATTTGAATATAAGATTAACAAATTAGTAACAACTTTGGTTTGAATTAACATTGTTCCTGAGATTATTTGCAGATGGTTGTTGGTTAAGTCAGTTTCTAGAAGGTATTTCCTTTCCTTTTTTGGGCCACTGACACCTTTAAGAATGTTCAGAAAAATGGGAAACCTATAAAATAAAACATAATTTTAAAGAGTTTATAAATATCTTGAAAACTATCTCTGGACCTCAACAAAGAACTCATATTCTAGAAATATCTTGCCAAAGACTTAAAGTGGAATTCAAGAAAGAAAAGATAATATAGAAGAGAAACAAATCAGAGTGCATAGGAGTTTAATTTCCAATCAGTGGTTTGAATTAGTTTTGTTTTGTTTTTTTTGTAAAATGTGACTAACGTTATCTCATTCACAGGAATGTTATAGGGTTTTATAAAACACTACTAGATATAATAACAACTGTCACCTAAGGTTTATTCTTTCAAATTTAAATTTTAATATTCCTCATTGAAAAAAAATGTTGTTTCTGAATTTATAGAAATATTGGAATTTAAAAAGAATCTACTAAGTGTGTCTTTGGAAATGTTTATAGGAACCAATGATGCCAATGGACCAGTCCTCCATGCATTCAGACCATCCACAGACAGGTAAGAATGAGGCTCACATGAACCATTTTTCATAAACAAGGTAGTATTTGAAGACTTCTACCCAAGCTCAAAAACATTAATATTCTTCTCTAGCAATAGGAAATAAGCTTATTTTGTGGTGGTAAGTTTAGTCATAATATTTATTTAACCATATAGTTTACATAAATATTTTAGATATTTGTGTAAAATCTTAAGAAATAACTTATTTTTCTAATTCAGATACATTTCTTTTTGAGACTCTTTTACATTCATCAAACCTAGTTTGTTTTTCACCATGAAAAAATTTAAAGCAGATTTTGTGGACCATATTGACTGTATTCAGGTGACCTATTTTTATTCCAAGCCTTATTAGCAGAAGTAGATATTATGTAGAAGATAGAAATGCAGTTATAGGAAATCTAAAACTATGCTGTGAGTAAAAATGTTAAATAGGAACAAAACCTTAAGCACAGATCTGAGAAATTTGGAGAGCAATTAAATGGGATACAGCAGCATGATCTGGTCTTTATTCAATTAAAAAAAAAAAAAAACATGAAAAAGGAAGATAGGAGTTTTTCTGGAAAAACAATGCAGTCTCTTTCTCCTGAAGCTATGAAATGTAGGGCCTTTTCCCCCAGTTGCTTTAAGGAATAAAAGCCCAGCATTATCATTTCTTTTTTTTCTTTCTTTTTTTTTTTTTTATTGGTTGTTCAAAACATTACAAAGCTCTTGACATATCATATTTCTTTTTTTTTTTCTTTTTTATTGTTGGCTGTTCAAAACATTACATAGTTCTTGATATATCATATTTCACACTTTGATTCAAGTGGGTTATGAACTCCCATTTTTACCCCATGACATATCATATTTCATACATTAGATTCAAGTTGGTTATGAACTCCCAATTTTACCCCAGATACAGATTGCAGAATCACATCGGTTACACATCCACATTTTTACATAATGCCCTATTAGTAACTGTTGTATTCTGCTACCTTTCCTACTTTAGAAAGTCAGTGACATTTTTGAAGTGTGAAAAAAGTAAGAAAAAAGACTGCTGTGCTTCAGTCATACTGAAAGATTTAAATAGGGTTTTTGAGTCAGCCATATACAAGGAATTTCTTGATTAATTTGTAAAAAAAAAAAAGAGAGAGAATTGTTTAAAAAATATTTATTAGAGCAATACTTGACTACCAAGTTGGTGCTTTCTCTCTCTACCTAAAGATTAGGATTTGACTCTTAAGTTTATATATAACATTTTATTAGTAGGACAAGTATTCAGATTTAAATGATAAAAACTTACTCAGAAGAAAAAAACTCAAAAAGAAGTGCAAACTCATAATCATCAAAAGAAATATTTATGTTAAAGTACTTTAATTGTGTTTCTTTTTAATTCTTGGGTTTGGATTTTTAGTAATTCCATATAATCCTTCAAGTCATGAGAGTTTGGACCAAGTTGGTGAGGAAAAGGAGGTAAGATAACTTGTTATATTATAAATACACTATTTCAGTAGCTTTTTTTTGGGGGGGGGGCAGTGTTGGGGATTGAACCCAGGGCCTTATGCATGCAAAGCAAGCACTCTACCAACTGAGCTATATCTTCAGCCCCTCAGTAGCTTTTTAATAAGATACAACAGTTTAGAAATATGACACATTGGCTTAGGTATTAGATGATAGTGATAAAAGACAAATGGTTTTTAATAATTTGAGAATTTTATTCTGATTTAATTTGGTAATTAATTTAAATTAGGAAATAGTTTGGGAAACATTTTCATTTTAAAATAATCTAAAAATCACAATGTATGGTATTTAGAATACTTGGTAATATTAGAATTATTGATTCTTTCAGTTTGTCAACTAATTGCTTATTTTAAATACAATTAAAATATCTTAATTGCCACTATTGTTTTCTATTAATTAAGCATTTTATCAGTTTTTAAAACAGAACAAATTCCTAATTTAAATTTTTTTGTGCTACAGGCACTCAAACACTGAGCCATATCCTTACCCCTTTTTTATTTGTTTAATTTTACTTAGAGACAGGGTCTCATTAAGTTGCTTAGGGCCTTGCTAAAATGCTAAAGCTGGCTTTAAGCTTGAAATCCTCCTGCCTCAGCCTCCTGAGCCAATGGGATTATAGGCATGTACCACTGCACACAGTTAGAAAATATTTAAAATAGTTATTTTTTTTAAAGTGTGTAGTGCAAATCATTATTGTGGCTCACCCCTTCTAAGTTTGACTTCTTAGAGTAACCACTTTTTAGCCATAATTTTGTGTGTGTGTGTGTGTATGTGTTTCCCCGTTGAATGTTTATATCTGTGTTTTTTGGTTTTTGAAGTTTATGTATTTCTGGACATAAAAAATTTAGTTCACACTTCCTCCTCCTTTCTCCTTTTCTTTTTAGTGTATGATAGGCGTATTATATTTTGCTCTTCTCTTGGTTACCTTTTGAAAAAAACAACTGTGCTGAATGACAGGATTCCTCATGCCCAAAATCCAACTACTTGGGAGATGGGAGTCAGAAGGATTACAAGTTTCTGGCCAACTTGGGCAACTTTTAGTGAGACCCTGCCTTAAAATAAAATTTTTAAGAAAGTGCTTGTGGAGAATGATATTGGCCAAATTATATTGTTATATTGTGTGCATGTACAAATATGTAACAATAAATGTATAACTATAATGCACCAATAAAAAAGAATGGGGGAATAAAGATCTGGGGTGGGAACTCAGTGGTAGAGCACTTGCTTAGCATGTGTGAAGCCTGTGTTCAATCTCCAGTACCACCACAGCAGTCAATAAAATCTAACTTTTTATTATGGAAAATTTCAAACATAAAGTAGGCAGAATAGTATAAGAAAACCCCTGTATCCATTACCCAGTTAAAATAATTAGTATTACATGGTTAGTCTTCTTATCTACCTGCATTTTTTGGTACATTATAATTACGTATAACAGTGGGGTTCTTTTTACCATATTCATACATAACATACAATTTGATGAATCTCATTTCCCTGAACCTTCCTTTCCCTCCCCTTCTCCTTCCTTCTAATCCTCTTTCTGGACTTTACAAATATTCCTTCTATTATTATTATTTTAATTAGTATATTTTATTTATATCTATTATCTATAACAATTTATTATTGTATCTTTATACATGAACATAGTATAATTTGGTAGATTTCATTCCCCAATGTTCCCATATGCCCTCCTCTCCTCCCTCCCTTTGATTCCTTTCCTCTATTCTATTGGACTTCTGTTTTTGTGATATTCCCCCCACTTTGTTAAAAATATGTATCTGCCCAACACACAACACCAGCTTCTTCATATGAGGGAAAACATTTGATCTTGACTTTCTTAGTCTGGTTTGTTTCACTTAGCACAGTGTCTCTAATTCCATCCATTTATTTTCACATTACATAATTTCATTCTTCTTTATGGCTGAGTAAAACTCCATTTTACATATGTATACCACATTTTCTTTGTACCTAGGCTGGTTTTATAACTTAGCTATTGTGAATTTGCTCTTATAAACATAGGTATGCATATATTATCATAGTGTACTGATTTTAGATCTTTTGGATAAATACCAAGGAGTGGGATAGCTGGGTGATATGGTGATTCCATTCCTAGTTTTTGAGGATTCTCCATACTGCTTTCCAAAGTGGTTGTATTAATTTTCAGTCCCACCAACATTATATAAGTGCACTTTTCCCCCACATCCTTTCCAGCAATTATTGTTATTTATATTCTTGATAATCTCCATTTTTACTGGAGCAAGATAAAAATCTCAATATAGTTTGGATTTGCATTTCTCTTAATTCCTCAGGATGTCGAATGTATATTCATGTCTGTTGGCCATTTGTGTTTTTTCTTCTGAGAAATGTCGGTTTAGTTCATTTGCCCATCCATTAGTCAGGTTATGTATTTTTTTGAGTTCTTTATATGTTCTGGATATTAATCCCCTGTTGGAAAAGTAACTGGCAAAGATCTTTTTATTTTGATGTTGTCCTACTTATTGATTCTTGGTTTTATTTCTTGAACTTCAGGAATTTTTTGAGACATTCAGTGCTTACACTCCTTTTTTTGTTTGAATATTTAAAAAAAATTTTTTTAAATATCTTTATTTATTTGTATGTAGTGCTGAGGATCGAACCCACTGCCTCATGCGTGCTAGGCAAGCACTCTACCACTGAGCCATATCCCCCGCCCTTGAGATTTTCTTTTCCTTTATTTAATTTATTTATTTTTATGTGGTGCTGAAGATCAAACCCAGTGCCTCACACATGCAAGGCAAGTGCTCTACTACTGAGTCACAACCCCATCCCTCATTGTTTTAATATTAATCCTATGTTTGTTTCTAGCAATTTTAGTGTTTCTGGTCTAATTTCCAGGTCTTTGATTCATTTTGAGATGCTTTTTTTTTAATATTTATTTTTTTAGTTGTAGTTGGACACAATACCTTTATTTGTTTTTGTGTGGTGCTGAGGATCCAACCCAGGGCCTCGCACTTGCTAGGCGAGCATGCTACCACTGAGCCACAACGCTAGCCCTTGAGTTGCTTTTTAATGCCAGGTGAGAGATAGGGATCTAGTTTCATTCTGCTATATGTGAATTTTTAGTTTTCCCAGCACCATTTGTTAAAAAGGCTGTCTTTTCTCCAACATATGCTTTGGGCACCTTTGTCAAGGATCAAATGACTTAATCTATATCCATTTGTCTCTCTCTTCTATTCCAGTGGTCTTCATGTCTGTTATTATGCTGATACCATACTGTTTGTGTTACTATTGCTCTATAATATAGTTTGAGATTGTCTGCCCACTTTCTCTACTGCTGTATTTTTGAAGGAAATCTGTTGGTCACCTGTTTAATCTCACATCTTAGTTTCTTGTTCTGTTTTAGCCAATATATTGACTCTGTTTTAGCTACCTATACTCTCTCTTCAAATTTTTCTTTTAGTTACATAGTTTACTTTTACATTGCCAACGTTGTCAACATTTATAATCTGTCTTACAACTAACAAAATCTTCTACATTTTGTTCACAAGTTAAATGAGTCAGTTAAAGAAAGACATTCCTAATAATACGGACTAAATTCTCTGTTCTTCTGGTACTATAAGTTGTTAAGGTTTTCTTTCCTTTGGTCTTTGAACCTTTTATATAGTTTGTGCTCCTTTTAGAAATCTTTACTGCTGTTATTATTATTATTATTAATTTCAGTTTGGTTGTTTATCAGACTCATCTACCTTTATTTTTACAGTTTTTAATATCTTCTAAATTGTAGAAATAGATGTAGCAGAATGCACAGATCATTAATATTTGGCAGATATGTTTTCACGAAGTGAACACTTATTTCATTTCATAGATGATCACTTGGATCAAGAGTGAAGGTCCTTCAGCATCCTGAAATACCATTTTATGCTTTCTCCCAGCCACTAGGACTCCCTTCTCCCCAAACACAACCACTGTCTTAGCACCACACATTAATTTTGCCTTTTTGTTGTTCAAACTTTATATAAATGGATTCATACAGCTTGTATTCTTTTGTATTTGTTTTCTTTCACACAGCAGGATGTGAGAGTCCTCCATGTATCACACAGCAGTATTTCATTTGTTTTCACTGTTATGTCAGTTTTTCTGTTCTACTGTTGATTTGCCCCCCTAGATTTTGATTATTATGATTTGCTGCTATGAATATTCTTGGAAATGTGGTTTGGTACACATGTATTAAAATTTCGGTTAGGTGTGTGACTAATTGTGGAGTTGGTTAGTTCATATGCACATTCAACTTTAGTAGATAATGGCAACAGTTTTCTATTTGTGTCAGTTTCTAGTTTCACCAACAGGGTATGAGTTCATTTGCTCTACATCCTTGTCAACACTTTGTATAGTCAGTCTCTAATTTTAGCAAATCTGTTGAATGTGTAGTGTTGATATTATGATTTTTTAAAAACTTCATTCTTTTACTGGTTTGTCTAGAGATTGCATCTTGCGTTCTTATTAAAATTTAGTACAAATTATTAATAATACTTTCATCATTTTCCAGAAAATACAGTGACCTTAGCATATTTCTGATTAATTTCTTTTTCTTTCCTGCCTTTGGTGCTTTTTGCATAGTTTAAAATTCTGTGTATGTGTGTTAGTGTTTTAAATAATTGATCCCTTAATTTGCCCACATTTTACTTTTTGTTCTTTCCTTTTTGTGTCATTGTTCTTCCATCTGACATATTTTTCTTCCTGAAGAACTCAATTTCATATTTTCTTATAAGCTTACTGGTGATGGGTTTAGTAGTTTTTACCTGAAAATGTTTTTATTTCACTTTGTTTTTGAGGACTATTTTTGCAGCATATAGAATTCTAGGTTAGTACTCACTTTCCTTAGGCCTTTTGAAGGTGACATTCCACTGTTACCTGGCTTCTGTTATTTCATGTAGTCTTTCATCATTGTGTCTGAAAGGAACTGTGCTTTTTTTTTTTATTTAATTTTTTTATAGTTTGCAATTAAGCATTGACTTATTTTCTTACCATTCTCTTCTTTCTTAACCTGCCCTAATCTGTTTTTAATTCCTCTTTGTTTATTCTTATTACCATAGCAAATTATTAGTATTATTTCTAAATCTTCACATGATTCTGTCTTTCATTAGCTGAACTGCTTCATGCTTGTTTCCTGTCTATATAATCTAAAAATGCCTCTAAATGTGTCTTCTGATTAGCTTAGATCTCATATATCAGCATACTCTTTCATCCTCATGTCCCCTTGTAACTCCCAAAGTCAATATGAAGACTCGAACTATTATCCCAACCATTCTGTCAGTCTAACCTACTCACACACTTTATTTTTCCTATCAGTGATACCTCCAATCCCCCAGTCACAAAAGTTATTATCATTTTTTATTCATGCATTTCCATTGCCCCCATACCTAAAAGTTAACAGAAACCAGGTCTTTGTAAACCCTCCTTGAACATTTCTCAGATTTCAACTCCCTTCCATTCCTACTTTTACTTTAGCTCAGACTTATCCTATCTCATGTGTATTATATGGCTTGCAATTATATAAGAATTAAGAACTTAACATGTTTATGTTAAGAAAATATTTAAAATCATTATAAGTATAACAAGGTGTTAGAAATGTAAGTTACTGCTGGGCACAGTGGTACACACATCTAATTCCAGCAACTCAGGAGACTGAGGCAGGTCAGTATGAGCAACTTAATGAGATCTTGTCTCAAAATAAATAAAAAGAGCTGGGGATGTATCTCAGTGGTTAAATACCCCAGTATCTAAATAAGTAAGTAAATGTTACTATTCAGTGTACTTTTAGGTATAACTCTTTGATATGAATGTTCTCAACAGGCAATGAACACCAGGGAAAGTGGCAAAGCTTCATCCAGTTTAGGTCTTCAGGATTTTGATTTGCTTCGGGTAATAGGAAGAGGAAGTTATGCCAAAGTACTGTTGGTTAGATTAAAAAAAACAGATCGTATTTATGCGATGAAAGTTGTGAAAAAAGAGCTCGTCAATGATGATGAGGTAAGCACAGTAGAGTTCTACTTCTAAGCTGTTAATCTCCCTTAGAGTACTGTATCAGAGAAAGCCTCAATGTTCATGTTTTATTATTTTGCTGTACCTTTCTTAATATGTTTCAAACAGATTATGTAAGAGATCTTTAGTCTGATTACTGCTAGATTTTTTCTTTTAAATAAAAACCAAACCATATATTACCAGAAGTCCTTGAACTTTATAAAAGTTTTCTAAAGCATTGCATAATACTGGAAGGTTAACTAGTGGTGTTTTTCCCTTTTTGTATAAATTTTTGCTTCATGATTATCAGTGCCTCTGATATTTAGCCTTGTTAGTTCATAGTTGAATTTGTGATACTTGAATTGCTAAAGAACAAATTTATCATTAGTTTTGATTATTTAATCTCAGTTTGACGTAGATTTCTTTCATATTTTAATTTAGGATATTGATTGGGTACAGACAGAAAAGCATGTTTTTGAGCAGGCTTCAAATCATCCTTTTCTTGTTGGGCTGCATTCATGCTTTCAGACAGAAAGCAGGTAAGACTGAAAGAGAGTGGGATGAATCCTGGGCTTCATGCATGTTGGTATATTATATAGTAAAACCTGTCTGCTATAATTCATGAAGCAGAAGTCATGGAGAAGGAGAGAAAGTATTATGCTTACAGCTTCCTGCTATTCATAAAATAAGTAGTGACATCAGTTTGCCATTGGTTTGCCATTAGGAAATGACCTGCTTTAGGTGAAAAAGGAAACAGCCAGATTAGAATTATGGCAATAGAAATCCCACCTTTTAAATGTCCCTAGGATTCTAATTTTATTATTTAATGTTTCTTAGAGTTTAACTATGGGGGAAAAAATCTAACTTTTTAACCTTAAATGATAGTCAGAAGTGACTTATCTAGCAAATGTTGAATTGGGATGAGCAGATTACAAGTGTTACAATCTTTTTTTTTTCCTTTTTAAAAAAATTTTATTTATGTATTTATTTTGAGAGAGAGATTTTTTTTAATATTTATTTTTTAGTTTTCAGTGGACACAATATTTTATTTTTTATGTGGTGCTGAGGATTGAACCCAACGCCCTACGCATGCCAGGCGAGTTCGCTACCTCTTGAGCCACATCCCTAGCCCAAACTTTATTTATTTATTTTATGTGGTGCTGAGGATCGAACCTAGTACCTCACACATTCTAGGCAAGGGCTCTACCACTGAGCCACATCCGCAGGCCGCAAGTGTTACAATTTTAGTGTTAGAAGTAGCAGGATATAGAGTTATTATCATGCTGATGTACATTCTGATCTTTTGTACTCTGTATACCCTTTGTTTCCACCAAATCTTTGGCATTTACTTTAAAGATTAAATCATAGAGAATGCTGTCTATATTGTGGCTAGTTAGTGTTTAAAATGTAAAGTTAATACTACCATATTTTGAATTTTGGTTTCATGGTTCTCTCCTGTGTTTTAGATTGTTCTTTGTTATAGAGTATGTAAATGGAGGAGATCTGATGTTTCATATGCAGCGACAAAGAAAACTTCCTGAAGAACATGCCAGGTAGGTTTTTAAAATGTTGTTTATGTTGGGTTTGTTTCAGGACTGCCTGACTTCTCATGTGCAGTAGTCGGAAAAAAGTATGTAAATAATTTATTTTGATGCTAACTAGTTCTTTTTAAATCATGATGTGGCTGAGCTAAGTTAATTTACATAATTTTAAATATGTATTATAATTTGCAGTTTATTTTTGTTTGTTGGCCTTATCAAATGGTACTTTTTATAGGAAGGTCAGATTATATTTTGAATTGTGAACATAGTTTTTGTTCCTTGTTTCTTCAGCTGAATTTGGGGAAACTACCTCTGGTTTTTACTATATTTAAGTGCCAGTTCTGCTTCTATACCATCTTTGCTTTTGTAGGAGGAACTGAAGCAGAGAATAAGTTCAGATTCTCTACAAAATTAAGTAGTTAGAAGGCATGTATTATGTTCCTGTAAAAATTATGATATTGTGGGACTGGGATTGTGGCTCAGCGGTGGAATGCTCACCTAGCATGTGTGAGGCCCTAGGTTCTATCCTCAGCACCACGTAGAAATAAATAAATAAAATAAAGATGTTGTGTCCACCGAAAACTAAAAAATAAATATTTAATTTAAAAAATTGTGATATTGTGCTACCAAGGCACCATAAACCAGCTTGGATGTTTCATTTTCATTATTTAGGCCAGTTTTAGTTATCAGTGAGTTGTAAAGTTTTCAAAAGTTTATTCTTTAATGTTAAATTTTATTATTGTAGAATAGTTTCTTTTCTAAAATCTTAGTATGATTTTTTTGAATAGTCAACTTAATATTTTTTTTCTATTTTATACCTGGCATTGTTTTTTAGTTTTTAAGGATAGTCATTGGTCCCTTAGAGAGGTGATAAAAACTGTAGGAACTCTGATAAGTGTACATTTACACATACAACTTTGCCTCCAGTTGTAGAATTCTGGACTGCGCAAAGTTCATCCAAGGGCCCAAAGTAAACCTCTGTTTAAAATTTTCAAACTAATCAATTATGAAAAATACGAGTTTAAGTTAGACTAGAACTTTTATAATTGTGTTTTGGGCTCAGATATTTTAAAGTGGGAATCTAATTTTGGGCGGGGGTGCGATTTGGGGATTGAACTCAGGGTCATTCAACCACTGAGTCACATCCCTAGCCCTATTTTGTATTTTATTTAGAGGCAGGGTCTCACTGAGTTGCTAATCACCTCGCTGTTGCTGAGGCTGGCTTTCAACTCACCATCCTCCTAACTCATCCTCCTGACTAATTTTTTTGTATTAAAGTACTGGGAGGAGAAAACTGCAGGTGGGAATAGAAGTTCAATACCTTACTCTAGAAATTTATTACAATTTAAAATTTTAAGTCACGTGAATTTTTAAAAAATATTTTTGTTTTATTTGTAAATGGACACAATACCTTTATTATATTTATCTTTATGTGGTGCTGAGGACTGAACCCAGTGCCTTACATGTGCAAGGCAGGCACTCCACCACTGAGCTATAACCCCAGCCCTCATATGACTTATTTTTGAATTTATTTTAGGTTTTATTCTGCGGAAATTAGTCTAGCCTTAAATTATCTTCATGAGCGAGGGATAATTTATAGAGATTTGAAATTAGACAATGTATTATTGGACTCTGAAGGACACATTAAACTCACTGACTATGGCATGTGTAAGGTAAGAAATTTTCTAGTTATTAATAAAAAAATGTCTTCTGTAGCTCATAAAGTTGTCTTGGTAAAAAAAATAACTGCATAAAGATGGGAGAGATGATTGCTGCTTTCGGCTGTTTGGAATTCTAGCACAAAGACAAATGTACTTTTTTCCTAATAATTTGCAAAATTCCCATATCTTCTGTATTTTATGTGCTATAAGAGGAGTTAATTTCTTTTCATGATTTATAACTTTTTTTTCTGGAAAGTTGTGACATTATTGAAGAAAATTTAGAAATAAAAATTATCTACAATCCCATTACTTGAGCATGACATTTGCATATGACCTCTCAATTTTTGCTATATAGTAGGAGTCTATTTTTTAAATAATGCATGTTCAGAATTTTCCCTGAAGTTTTAACATTTTTATATTTAAATTTTAACTATCTGACACAGAGAATAGTAAAAATCAAATAAGAATTACTCTCAAAGCATATCTTCTTTATTTCTTGTTTTATTTTTGTGACAAGTGTTTCATTTGAAAGTCTGATCTTTTTCCACAAAACATGCAGGGTACCATTTTATTTATTGAAGCAGCTGGTACAAAATTACCCTCACAAGAGTGTAAATGTGTGAGTTGCATTCCCCATTCACTTAATGGTAGCACCACCAGAATCCAGAGATTTCTAAATGCTGACATCACACAAGATAGTCTAATCATATTGAAGATTTAATTTTATTATCTGTTAAGAATAAATTAGAAAATAAGATCTTCACAGACTATATTTGTAGCCTGGTGTGGTGGTACATACCTTTAATTATAGCTACTTGAAAGACTGAGGCAGGAGGATATCAAGTGTGAGCCCCATTCTGGGCAACATAGTGAGACTGTCTCAAAATAAAAAGCAAAACTAATTTTGCTTTTATGGGTAATACTAAAAGCCATTTTTCTTGTGATAATCCTTATAGTATTATATGGATGTTCAGTGATAAATAATTAGAAAGTTTAGTGATTAGAAACCCCTGTGTGCCTTTCAGTCATATTTGTGATACCTTTTTGATTTTTGTGCCATTTTTTCCTCTAGGGAACCCCCCCGCCATTTTTAAATAAAAGTGGCAGTAATAATGAAATCTTAGATTACATAAGAAAAATAAAAACTGAACAAAAAATATGAAGAATGTTAACTTTGTTACAAAGTCTGCAAATTAAAACTGACACCTATTTTTGTCTGTCAGATATCGGCCTATAGGTAAAAGAAAATAATGAAATGGGCATTCTCATATGTCTGTGATGTGTATATAAATTATGGTAAGACCCTGGGTTCGTTCAGTCCCCAATACCAGGGAGGAAAAATTGTTGCATCTTTTTGAAAAGCTGTTGTATGTCGAAAGTACTGTTGGTTAGATTGTGTATTTTGAGTAAATATTTTTGTCTATAAGACCAAATTTTTTATTGTAATTTATGATAAATATTTATGTGACTTTGTAAGTTAAATATTTTTTATTTTATAAGTCATTTAAAGTCAAAAAATCTAACAATATAAAATGTTCATAACATTAAATAAAGCTTTAAAGTATTGTCATATTTTATTATATAGCATCAAACACTAATTCTGTTTACTTTTTTATATTTTTAAGTTATTATAACAGTTTTGTTTTACATAAACAATGAGAACATAAAGTATTAAGGCAGGCTGACTTCCTTCCTATTTCATTTTTCCCTTCTTTTCCCTCCTTTCCTCTCTCTCCTTCCCTCTCTTCTTCCTTTTTTCCTTTTGTCTTTTGTTACTTTCATTGAAAAATGAAATTTGTTGGTCATACATCCTCACTCTTTACAAGGATCTTCAATCAAGTTAGTCAGGATCTTTGGTAAACCTCAGAGATTAGCCTGTCTATCTCTCTCTGCTTTTCCCACCTTCTGCAAGAGCTGCTTAGTTTTATTAATGGGAAAGAACACGAGGATAGGAATTTCGTTCAGTGACTTTACTAACAATATTTTGTCTCTTCTTTTTTTTTAATATTTATTTTTTAGGTGTAGTTGGGCACAATACCTTTATTTTATTTATTTATTTTTTTATGTGGTGCTGAGGATTAAACCCAGGGCCTCGCACATGCTAGGAGAACACTCTACCATTGAGCCACACCCAACCCCTGTCTCTTTCTTACTAGCACATTTACTCCCTTTTGATGTGAAAGTTCATGGGAAATGAACTCTCTTAAAATTTGGATGCTTCTATCTTGTGACTTAGAGTCAGTATTTAAACTTACCTAAAGTCTAACCTCCTGCAAATACTGAGTTAATTTCTTTTGCTGTAACAATTTCTAGATAAACTATAAATGCTAAATTTTTTTTCAGTTAATTCAGAAATACTTCTTTAGGTTTAGTTAACTTAATTTCTTCAGGTTCATACTAGATACCTTTGGAGTACAGAGGATAGTGATTTAAACTTAATATTTTCAGATTTAATATTTGAAATATTTTATGAATATTAATTTTATTGAGTGAAAATTTAGCCATTTATGAATTGAGGTGCCTTTAACTATTTTTTTTTTTTTTGTCAACAGGGAAATTTTAACAATATCTATGTTGTGCCATAGATAATTTAGCTAATAGGCCTACATTTAGATATTCAGTAAGTGCATGATTTTAGCGTAGCTCTGTTACATGTTACCAGACTGTCTCTTGCTTCTGTTTGTTGTCTGGAAGTGTGTGTCATTTATCATGATAATGTGTGACAAGCCATGTCAATAAAAACAGGGTCGGGTTGTGGCTCAGTGGTAGGACACTTGCCTAGCACATGTGAGACATTGGGTTCAATCCTCAGCACCACATAAAAATAAATAAAATAATGTCCATCTACAACTAAAAAAAATTATAAAAAATAATATAAAACATCTTAAGTCATATTTATAATTATTAGTACATAAAGCTAACATGGCCAGGCATAGTGGCGCATGCCTGTAATCCCAGTGGCTTGAGAGGCTGAGGCAGGAAGATTCTGAGTTCAAAGCCGGCATCAGCAACTTAGGTCCTTAGCAACTCAACATGATCCTGTCTCTAAATAAAATGTGAAAAAGGGCTGGGGACATGACTCAGTGGTTAAGCACCCCTGGGTTCAATCCCCAGTACCAAATAAATAAATATGTATATCCCTATTAGAAATAATTTTTTAAAAAATCCTTGGGATAATAACCTGTTACTAAGTATTTCTTGTAGATGTTTATAGTAGTGTTTAGATAGTAGAATAAAATTTGAAGGAAAATATGTATACCATGCCCAGAATATCTCTGGAGGGACGCATAAGAAGCCATGGTTTCATCTGGGAAGCTAAAACTGAATGCATCAAGAACAAGTAATGAGAGGAAGATTTGATTATCAGTATACTTCCCCCACTCCATTGTCAGTTTGGAATTTTGTTACATGTGATCTAATAGTAGGAAAAGGGTTAAATTCTAGTTACATATATTTAGTTGAATTTCATAATTATTAATAATAGAAAGTCTGTAATTAAGGAACACTTATAAAGTTTAAAAACAAAACAAAACAAAACACCACCAACAAAAAGGAGCCAGGCCCAGTGGCACATGCCTGTTATCCCTGTGACTCTGGAGGCTAAGGCAGGAAGATCACAAGTTCAAGGCTATCATCACATCAGCAATTTAGGCAGACCCTGTTTCAAAAAAAAAAAAAAGGTATGTAGCTTAGTGGTGAGGTGCCTTTGTGTTTAGTCCTCATTTTTTATTTTATTTTATTTTTTAAGAGAGAGAGAGAGAGAGTTTTTTTAATATTTATTTTTTAGTTTTTGGCGGACACAACATCTTTGTTTGTATGTGGTGCTGAGGATCGAACCCGGGCCGTACATATGCCAGGCGAGCGCGCTACCGCTTGAGCCACATCCCCAGCCCGAGTCCTCTTTTTTAAAAGATGCTTAATTATACATATAATCATATTCTGCCCCTTTTATTTTTAGACTATCTTTTTATTATTTCTTTTTTTTTTCCACAGTACTAGGGATCAAACCTGGGGCCTCTTAGGTGCTAGGCAGTCATTATACAATTGAATTATATCCCCAGTCTACTGTTGATTCCTTATTTAGTTGCCTTATCTGAATGACATTGGCTCTTTGAAATACACTGAGATTTCTTTTATGACTTAGTATCTAGTCAGTACCCCATGTGTACTTTAAAAAGATATGATTTCTGTTTTGCATGCAAACAAAGTCTTTCTTTTAATGTTTCTTTCTCCTTTCCCCACACACATATGGACACATATGTTCTATATGTATGTTTTATGTGTGTTTTATTATGTATATATGTATATTAGTTATACATATATATTAGTTATACATATAGTGTATCTATATATATCTAGTTTTCACATTTTTCTCTGCTTACTAATTATTGATCTGTGTAATCTATCATTTCTTTTTTTAAAAAAAATAGTTTTTTTAGTTGTAGATGGACGCAACATCTTTATTTTATTTATTTGTTCTTATGTGATGCTGAGGATCGAACCAATACCTCATGTGTGCTCTACCACTGAGCCACAGCCACAACCCTATAATCTATCATTTCTGATATAGATATATTAAAAATCTCATCAAGATTAAAGATTGTGAACTTCAAATAATTTTGTCTATTTTTACTCTTCATTTTGAGGAAAATACAAGTTTGTATTTATTATAACTTCTTGGTGACTGTGCCATTCATTATTGTGCAGTATCCCTAGTTAGGTTTATTAATGTATTTTGCATTAATTTTCACCATCTTATAGCTATTACAATGAGAACCAAAAATCTTGTGCCATAGAAAAAATGAACAACGTTATGTCAACAGTTGTGTCAGGAAGTGCGACTTAAAATGCTGCTTTTCTTCCTGAAATACGATTCATTGTATTCCTATAATTTAAGTTTTTGTGTTAAATTTTAACCTGAATATAAACCATTTTAAAATTCTTAGTTGAACTTACTTTTTAGCAACATCTAATAATCTTTTTTTAAGCTATTTAGTGGCAATCCATAATTTTAATAATACATTTGTTCTAGTGATTATTTAAGGTTAATATATTACTTACTGATGCTGAAGTTATGTGATGGATAAAATAGAGGAGGTGAATTTAAAACAAAATTTTAGATCTTATTCTTCTTTCTTTGTTTTGTTTCATAAAAGGAAGGATTACGGCCAGGAGATACAACCAGCACTTTCTGTGGTACTCCTAATTACATTGCTCCTGAAATTTTAAGAGGAGAAGATTATGGTAATAAATACATAAGTGATATTTCAGCTATTGCTAAGTGGGTGGTTAAATGTGGTAACAAATATATTATAGTAAACTACAGCATTTTAATACTGATCTTACTAATGTAAACTTTCTTGATTCTGTTAAAATATACATGAAGACCCCCAGACTCTGAAATCAGAGAGTAGGACTTGGTGGTCTATAGGGGTACAAATTTAAATAATATTTTATTAATGATGAACACTGAAGAGTGATAGGTACTATTCTGAGCAGCTTATATTATATTAACTAATTTGATTTTGCAACAACCCTCTGAGGTAAGCATTGTTGATTCCCATTTTACAGATAAAGAAACTGATATACAAAAAGTTTAAATAATATGCCCAATGTCCTAATGACTACATTGTTACAGAGTAAGGGATTCATAACAGCAGCCCTGTGATTCCAGAGTGAGTCATGAACTAGAAGGTTCTCCAGATTTTGGGGGATATTTCCCTCAGAAATCTGTAAGAGGGTAGAAAGACTGGCTGGCTGTCAGGCACCAGAAAATAAATTTTCCTCAAAAAGGATTTGACTTTTTGGGTTCTGGTCCTATGATTTCAGCAAATGTAAAGGGGGATGTGGTACTTTTGACAATTGCTCAGAATATGAATTCAGGAATCTTTAATCAGCTAGCAAAAAAAAAATCAAATTTTAGACCAAAGAAGCTTATTCTCCAGTGCTATATAATTATATCCTCAAAACAAAATATTAGATAGTGGGCATGAGTCTGAAATTACAACTATATTTGGAAAAAAATATTATGTTTCACTGCCCATAATTTTATATTTTGATGTTCTTTTGGGCACTTACCTTTGATGGTAAGTGATATATTTCTGTAATTCTCAGAACTTACTCAGATAGTTATAATAATTTAGAGTTTACTGTCTCATTGTGTTTATTTTTTTATTATGTGACAAAATATGAACCTCCAATTACTGACTTACAAGCATGCAGAGTGGCTAATTTATTGCTTTAAACTTTCTTTCTGAAGGTTTCAGCGTTGACTGGTGGGCTCTTGGTGTACTAATGTTTGAGATGATGGCAGGAAGGTCTCCATTTGATATTGTTGGGAGTTCTGATAACCCTGATCAAAACACAGAGGATTATCTCTTCCAAGGTAATTTGCAATACTTTATACAGATTCTTTGTGAATAACCTACTCTAGAGCACAAAGTGTTCTTAGGGTATTACTTTGAATAAGAAAAAGGATAATAATCTGAATAGTATACTCTTTACTTAATGAGATTTTGATTTTTTTTTTAATACATCCTTCCTGCCTCTGTCATCTCCAGTCTCATCTGCAGTTACCTTCTTGTATTCACAATCATTGCAAATGATTCCATTAGCTGATATACCACAAACGTATATGGAAGAGGGAATCCTATGGCTAGAGAGGACCATATTCATGAAACCTGAAGCTGAGGATATAAGTTCACAAACATTATGTGGGGCATAGAGTACCAAGAAGATAAGAGGGGTCAGAAGGTGGAGGAGGGGAAGGCTCATGATGGGAAGTACTAAGAATTGAGCATGACGGACAGGCAAAAAGGCCTCCTAACACATAGTCCAAAGTGTGGCCATGGGATCCTGCATTTAATAATTACCAATCACAGAATATGAATAGGCATTTATTATACTAGGAAAGTCAAGCTGAATATGGTGGGACACACCTGTTATACAAGCTACTCAGGAAATTGAGGTAGAAGGATCCCAAAATCAAGACTAGTCTAGACAACTAAACAAGACCTATCTCAAAAGAAAAAATTAAAAGAGCCTAGCATGTTCAAGGCCCTGGATTCAATCTCCAGTACAGGAAAAAGAAAGAAAGAAAGAAACCCAAATGGGCCATGGAATATGTGAAAAGACCTTCAACTTCACTAGTATCTAGAGGAATGTATATTAAAATATTAATGAGGGGCTTGGGTTGTGGCTCAGTGGCAGAGTGCTTACCTAGCATGTGTGAGGCACTGGTTTGATTCTCAGCACCACATATAAGTAAATAAAGGCCCATCAATAATTAATAAAAATATTTTTTTAAAAATTAATGATCTACCATTTCATACATTTGGCAAAAATTTTAACGTTTGATAATAATCAGTGTCAGCGAAGGTATAAAAAAATTGGAATGCTCAGACGCTGCTGGTGGGAGTAAAAATTGACACAATAGCTTTGGGGAATGATTTGGCATTGTTTAATAAAAGTAATTATTATATGTGAAGCATTTTATAAATATTAACTACTTCAAACTTAATAAAAAATCTTCAAAGTAAGTATTATTTTCCTGGTGAGGAAACTGAGGCACAATAAAGTCGTCAAAGAATAAAACATTCTCATAAATGATACTAAAGTGCTTAAATTAGAGGCCATATCCGAGGAGAGAGAGGTAATGGAAGTACAAAAGTGGTTTAGTTGGGTATGTAATATCTTATTTTTATTGTTGCAGTGCCTTAAATATCTCAAAACAAAAACTTAAAAAATCAAAGATATGTAAAGGTTCAACACAATGCTATGATTTTTATCTTTCTAGTTATTTTGGAAAAACAAATTCGCATTCCACGTTCTCTGTCTGTAAAAGCTGCAAGTGTCCTGAAGAGTTTTCTGAACAAGGTAAAATTTGTGTGTAAATATCTTTTGTGTTTTGTTTCTATATAAATCAAACCAGTAAGGAGAAAGAAGCCTAGGCAACTTCCAAACAAACAAGGTATGCAACTTTTTCAGTTATGTCTGTAATACCTCTCTTAACCAAAGAGTAAATGACAGCATTAACTCCTAAGATGATTTTTCTCCTTTCTACTTTGCCAGTGTAATTTACCCCCAGCTACATGTTACTTATGAATTTTTTAATGTATGTTTTATACATGTGTGTGTATATACCATATACTCAGTAAAGGAAGAATTTAATATTTGGAGTTAGCCACAACTGTACTTTAAAATATTTTCCCATTTTTTTCTGTTATTATCCACAGAATTTATTCATTATCATGTACTTTTTGAGCACTTGGGCAGTAATATTCCCTATAAATTGTTATATTGAAAACCCTATAATTAGATAAAATTTAGAAGAAATGAAATCCTATCCTAAAAATCTGAACATGATTTAATTGTTGCAGTTTGTGGGCTAGAGAAGTTTTAGGATCTAAGGTTGCAACTTTTGGTAATGATAAATTCTACTTTTAATGAGTATAAGTTGGTGTGCATTTACCTACTAAGATAAACAGGTAAGATAATGGTGAATTTTTTTAATGTTTTGCTTTTATGTTTATTTTTTAAATATGTATTTATTTTTAATTTTTTAAAACTTTAATGTTTTGCTTCTGTGTTTATTTTTTATTTTTATTTATTTATTTTTAATTTTTTAACTAATGATGAATTTTTAATAAAATCAGAAATTGAAGAACTTGTTTTAAATAAATATATTATGTGAGGAAAGATTTAAACTTGAAACCTAATCTTTCATAAAGTGAACAATTGAAAGTGAGAGGGTTAATATGTAAAATAAAATGTTTTTTGTCAAAAAGAAAAACAGGAACATGTTCTCATTCATAGTAATAAATAATCCAAGACTTCATAATTTGTAGACTCCTTTACTTCAGTGATTCAGGTAATGGTTATATCATTGTCTTACTCAAATTATGCTTTGTTGTTCTAATTACAGCATATACCTTTAAAATTGAGCTAAGAATAAACCTATGAAGTTTGGTGGTTTCCATATTTCGATTGACACTAGCCCATGTCAAAGAAACAACTGGTTGCTGCTCAAATGATGCTGCTAGTCTCTTTTCCTCCCACTTTTTCTTAAGCAAGGAGTGGTGACCATTCTCCACTTCAGTGACATAAGAGCACTGAGGAAATCTTACATGTCACAAAGTCTGGATAATTCAACTTGGGTCTAGTATTGTACTTTCTAGAAAGAAAAGGTAGATAATTTCAGAAATAAGATATCAATTAATAGGCAGGAAACTGTGGTCACAAAATTGAATTATTTTGAAGCATGACATTTACCTAATTCTTAGAACATTTTTTTCTACCATAGGACCCAAAGGAACGATTGGGTTGTCATCCTCAAACAGGATTTGCTGATATACAGGGGCATCCATTCTTTCGAAATGTTGATTGGGATATGGTATGTAAATTTTTATTGTTTTCTGTATTAGGTTTTATTGATACCTTGGGCCAAATTTTACTGTCTTAAAAGAGTGTTGAAAAACTCATATGTCACAGTTTTTTAATGTTACTGTATTTTTTTTTTATATCTTTTTAATTTATTTTTTTAATGTGTTGCTGGGAGCGAATCCAGTACCTCACACATGCTAGGCAAGCACTCTACCACTGAGCTACAACCACAGCCCTCATGTATCACAGTTTGAACAACTGAAAACAACTCTCTCAAATGCTTTTTTTAAAATATTATTGAAATGTTAAAAATTAATTTATTTTAATTAGGTATATATGACAGCAGAATGCATTTTAATTCATTGTACACAATTGTAGCACAACTTTACATTTCTATGGTTGTACACAATTTAGCATCACATCATATGTGCCTTGGGTCATACATGTACCTTGGGTAGTAATGTCCGTCTCAGTTCTACCATCTTTCCTACCCCCTGCACCTTCCCTCCTCTCCCTCCCCTTTGCCCAAAGTTTCTCCATTTTTCCCATACCTCCCCCCCTCCCCGTTACGCATCAGCATCCACTTATCAGAGAGAACATTCGACATTTGTTATTTTGGGATTGGCTTACTTCACTTAGCATGATATTTTCCAACTCCATCCATTTATCTGAAAATATCATTTTATTCTCTTTTAATGCTGAGTAATATTCCATTGTGTATATATACATATATACACCACAGTTTATTTATCCATTCATCTATTGAAGGGCATCTAGGTTGCTTGCACAGTTTAGCTATTGTGAATTGAGCTGCTGTGAACATTGATGTGGCTGTGGTTACTATAATATGCTGATTTTAAGTCCTTCAGACCAAGGAGTGGGATAGCTGGGTCAAATGGTGGTTTCATTCCAAGTTTTCTAAGGAATCTCCATACTGCTTTCCAGATTGGTTGCACCAATTTGTAGTCCCGCCACCAATGTATGAGTATGCCTTTTCCCCCATATCCTCACCAACATTTTTTGTTGTGTGTATTCTTGACAACTGCCATTCTGACTGGTATGAAGATGGAAAGATCTCCCATGTTCTTGGATAGACAAAATTAATATTGTCAAAATGGCCATACTACCCAAACCACTATACAGATTTGGTGTGATTCCAATTAAATTCCTAACATCATTCCTTATAGAAATAGAAAAAGCAATCATGAAATTAATTTGGAAAAATAATAGAGAGACCCAAAATAGCCAAAGCTATCCTGAGCAAGAAGAGTGAAGCAGGAGACATCACAATACCAGACCTTAAACTATACTACAAAGCCATAGTGACAAAAACGGCGTGGTACTGGCACCAAAATAGACATGTAGATCAATGGTACAGAATAGAAGACACAGGGACAAACCCACATAAATATGTTATCTCATACTAGACAAAGGTGCCAAAAACATACAGTGGAGAAAAGATAGCCTCTTCAACAAATGGTGCTGGGATAACTGGAATCCATTTGCAGCAAAATGAAAATAAACCCCTGTCTCTCACCAGCACAAAACTCAACTCAGTGTGGATTAAGGACCTAGGAATTAGTCCAGAGACCCTGTGCCTAATAGAGGAAAAAATAGGCCCAAATCTTCAATGTGTTGGATTAGACCCCAACTTCCTTAGCAAGACTCCTAAGGCACAAGAAATAAAATCAAGAATTAATAAACGGACCTGACCCTTTCCAATAAATGAACTGACTCTTTTCCATGAGAGCTCAGTAAGACAGGCAAAGGGAAGAGTAAAATAGAACTTCTCAGCTCTTCCCAGGATACCAAACACCCGTGGCATATAGAGTCAGGAAGACATAAAGCCATGAAAATTATCAGTCTTGCCTTATATTTTATTCAGGATTTATAATACACCATCAGAGTATAAATATTCCTGTGGATATTTAATCTTTGCTTTTTATGGACTGGGATAAACATATTCTCCTCTTATAAAAAGACTCTTGGGAAAAAAATTAATAAATGGGGTGGACTCAAACTAAAAAGCTTCCTCTCAGCATAAGAAACAAGGAGGTGAACACAGAATCTAATTTTGGGAGCAAGCTTTTGCCACACACACGTCAGAGCACTTGTCTCCAGGATATATAAAGAACTCAAAAAACAACACCAAAAAAAAAACAACCCAATCAATAAATGGGCTAAGGAGCTGAACAGACACTTCTCAGAAGAAGATATACATTCCATCAATAAATATATGAAAAAATGTTCAACATCTTTAGTAATTAGAGAAATGCAAATCAAAACTACTCCAAGATTTTGTCTCAAGTGCTTTTTTAAAATCTTCGCAACTAAAACAATTATAATATTAATGTAATAAGAACAGGTCATAATATTGTTGAGGCTCATATTAATGTTCAAATTTGCAAATTATGTCCATTGTTGTTGTTATCATATAGAGCAAGGGACAATGGCCTATGCCCATAATCCCAAGGACTTGGGAAGCTGAGACAAGAGAATAGCAAATTTGAGATCAGCCTCAGCAACTTGGTGAGACCCTGTCTCAAACATTTTTTAATCATTTTTTTAAAGGGCTGAGGTTGTAGCTCAATGGTATAGTGTCTCTGGGTTTAATTCCTGGTACCATAAAAAAAAATTATGTATGTATGTATGCATATGTGTGTATGTATATATATATCATGTGTGTGAATACGTGTGTGTGTGTGTGTGTATTTAGAACTGTGCCTAGGGAAACATCAGAGCAGAGGAAAAATTTAGGTGTGGAATTTTTCTAAGAATGTAGGTTTGAGCTGTCATCTAATATGTCTTTTTAGATGGAACAAAAGCAGGTGGTACCTCCCTTTAAACCAAATATTTCTGGAGAATTTGGCTTGGACAACTTTGATTCTCAGTTTACTAATGAACCTGTACAGCTCACTCCAGATGATGAGTAAGTAATTCTATATACTGAAATATTTTTAAAATTCTTTGAAAACCCATTTTTAATGGTTACACAATGTTTTATTATCAGATTATACTATAATTCATGTAGCCAGTAGGTTACTGGATATTTGAACTCATTATATATTATCAACTATAATAGTAACTGTCATTATTCTTTCTTTGCTTTACATGCATTATCCTAATTCTCACAACAACCTTGTAAACTAGGTATTGTCATCTTCATTTTACAGATGAGGAAACCGAGACTCAGAGAGGTTAAGCAAAGTTACACAGCTGTCAGGTGGCAGAGTCAGGATTCAGACCCAGATCTGACTGACTGAGGCCTCTGCTCTTTCCACTGTGCTGCACTGTTCCCCATTTTGATGATGAGCATCTTTGTCTGGGTTTCTGTTACTTTAAAAAAATTATACCATTATCAAATTTAGCCAGCAGTGATCCAGTGTTTTTTTTGTTTTGTTTTGTTTATGTTGCATCTTTTAAAAATATAGGTTAGAATAATTTGTGGACATTTTGATCATTTAGCTGTCATTACAGATTCATTCTCTGTAAACTCAAGGAGGCCCATTTGGTTGGTAGTCACTTCACTTATATCTTCATTCTTATCATGTTCTTCACAGCAGCTGTTCCAAATGGTTTATATTTTTTAGAAGGCTTCATTCCTACCCCTATCTCTATCACTCTTAATGGATTAACCTTGCCTTAAGTTGACTTCAGTAATTTAGACCTCTCTGGTTTAAGTTTGCTCCCTTTTCAGCAGTGTCTAGATCACCTTATCTCAGGATTGCTCTCCACTTTTCTCAGCCTTTTTCTTGTTCCATCCTCTTGGAAGGCCCTGTTTTGTGAGGGATGCTCCTTCTGTTTTCCTAGACTTATTTTCTTAGTTGCTTCCGGGATTTCATTTTGTCAGTTACCTAACTGCTCCACCTTTGATTTGTATATTTCTAGTTTATTTCCCTCTACCTACAGACTTGCTCAGGTATCCTGATTTTACCCCTAAATCATAACCCCTCTTTGAACCAGAATACTTTTTTTTCATATTTTCTTTTCAAACATTTAAAAAGAATAATTAATGAATGCTCATGGTGAAAGAAAAATAAACAAGCAGTATCTCTGTCTCTTCAGAGTAGTCAATAGAGGTTGTCTTTGTACTTTCTTGCTGCCAACAAGTCAAATTGACATCTTAATTTCTAAATTACAAAGCACTTTTTGGTCAGTCTTCATCTATCCTGATATCTATAAGGTACTTGAAACTCAGAGCCTTGCCTTAGGTAGTGCTGCCCACCCTGGTTTTGCTTCATCTCAGCAACTACTTATTTGTCATATTTTTTCCTTTCCCTTTGAGACCAGGCTGCTCCATGGTTCTATGTTAGTCTGGCTGGGCACAAATAACCGAACTGCCACAAAGCCTTGTAGGTTCAAACAGCAACTCTTTATTTCCGAACTCTCACTGGCACTCTACACACACTTCCCGGGAACACACTCCCTCCACTGGGCTCCATGAGATGAGAACTCAACCCGGGAACTCCAAAGTAGCAGGCGCCTGAGGCAGCAGCATCTGCCCTAATCCAAGCAGAATCCGCCCTAGTCCCGGAGGATCCTCCCTAATCCTGGAGCAGGGTCACCTTTCAACCATTCCCTCTAGCAAAATGCCAGGCGTCCATTCGGACTAAACTGTGGCTCTCAACATCTTCCCCCCCTTCTGTTTAATTAAACAACAAGCATGTGGCTTAGGGACAGTGCCTGTCTTAGGTTGTCCAATACTACATATGGTCCTTACCGGTCATCGGATGAGCTGACCTCAAGGCGTCAGCCTCCTGTCTTAGGTTGGTACCATTGTAATTGGATCTTACCTGTCATTGGCTACTGGTCCAGCATACAGCCATACTTGTGGATAGGCCTTTGCACCAGTGGGGGGGTGAAGTTCTTTGCCTCACCTCTGTTGGCTCCCAAATTTGGCCTTGGTACCAGTGGGGGGGCGGTGAGGTTCTTTGCCTCACCTCTGTTGGCCCCCAAATTTTAGACCATCACAAGCAGAAAGGGAGGAGGATGCAAAATGCCATGGCACCAAGCCAAATGATGGCTCTTTTTGGAAAAATTGTACCACCGATGACACCATCAGCAAAGATACCCCAGCACTACCGCAATTCACTGCACCAACAGATAGTTCACAATGCATACAAGTGATACATAGTCCAGGCAAGTTCTGCAAGCAGTTTAAAGCAGAGGAATCTGCCGCAGTCTGGCTGGGCACAAATGCTGCAGTCTGGCTGGGCACAAAATCACGAGCCACCACACAGCTTGTAGATTCAAACAGCAACTCTTTATTCCCGAACTCACACCAGCCGTCTACAATCACGTTCTGGGGAAATCCACGTTCTCTGCCCAAATTCACCTCCACTGGGCTTCTATCTCCCAAAAAATACTGTCTGAATCCCGTGAGAACTCAAGGGGAACTCAGGCAGCAGGATACGCCCTATTCCCAGCAGGAATAATCTTAAACCTGGAACGCCCTAAACCCGATTATCCTAAACCGGGAACACCCTAATCCGCCCTGGTCCTTGAGCAAGGTCACCTACATGCAATGTCACTGCAAAATGTCCTATTTCCACGAGTCCTTCCACTAAGCAACATGGGGTACGCTGGCAAGGAAATTGTCATACCTACTTGGCTAATGGCTCCCAGCAGGAATCCATTAATATGTCCATTTCCTCCCAAAGTAAATCAACTCCTTGATTGAGCATCACTTGTTGAATTATTATTCATTGATGCATCAGTTTATACAGTTTACTGTGATAGCTATCAAAGAAACTGTAGTTTGGTTTTATCTTTGTCTTCACCGGCACTGGGATGAAGATAGGAATTCTGGCAATGATGGCTAAAAAAAAATTATGTAACATTCCTGCAGGCACTAAAAAAAAAGCAATTTTCTAAACAATTTACATTATCCTGAACGGAATTATTAAATATAATGAAAAGTAAAGGTAAAAGTAAACAAACAGATCTGTTAACCTCCTTTTTTGTTCACATATTAAAACAATCCTCAACAGCTGTTTACCCAGTTTAAATTAAACCATTTAAATACGTGAATTAAAAAAAAAATATTCGGATCCATTTTTTCCATGAGCACTCCTCATATATATGGACATATGCACATACAGACATACAACACAAAACAAAAGTGTGCACACATAACATGCAACACATAATAGTAAAGGCCTTGTAGCTTTACACAGGTGAAATCTCCATTGCAATGTTTAAAAACTCCACAGTCAAAAAATAGAACTGATCAGTAAAACATTAACCTAGGTCTGTATGAGCTGAAAAAATAAAATAGAACTTCATGATGTGGGAAAAGGCAATAATAAAATAGATATTGAAAAAAAGCATCCTGGTTACCACCTGGGTTTGACTCTTCTTATGATATCCCATCCTTCTTCCTGTAACTTGCATATGGGTTTGAAGGTATTCCCACAAGCAAGCCCCAAGGTTTTTTACATTTGAAATAGGCTTTAATGGTGTTCATTATTCATTAGACTCCAGGTGTGGGAGAATCACTGTCACAGATGTAAGAATAGCCAAACTGGAGTTCTGAATATCAGCTGTTATGGATTTGAGCCAAATCATCTTCTTTTTGGTCTGTAGAAATCGCTTTAGTTAATCTCTCTGGAATCCAAATCGGCTGCTGTTCTCCCTGTGGAAACACACAAACAGACCCCCGACTCCAGACAATCACTGGGTCAGGACCTTTCCATTGTCCTGTTAGAATATCCTTCCAAAGTACCTTGGACTTATGTTCATTTTTTTGGACACACATGCCTTTCCGCAGCACTAAGCCCTGATGAATCCAAATTTAAAAAGTTTAGAGTAAAAAGGGTTATTTTAAGTTTATCTTTGGGGGATATATACCCCTTTCCAATTCCCTCTTTTTGCTTTAATAAGTACATTTTAATAGTTTGATGAGCTCTTTCAACTATGCCTTGTTCCTGTGGATTGTATGGGATTCCTGTTAAGTAAAACATTAACTGATTTTTCTTCAGGGATGATGTTCCAAAATATCCTATATGCATCCTTTGGAAATTTAAAGATCCTTTTAAATTCAAGTCTTCCAAAAGCATTTTGCCTTAGATTTTAGAATTACTTTAGTCCTCTTAATTTTTTGATGTGGTTTTAAACCAATTTCCTTCTAGTTTAATGTTTTCTAAATTGGCTCTTGTCTATAAATTTTAACAGCCTCATCTGAGACTTCTAATTTCTGCACCACCAGAAATTAAAGTTGATGGGCTTTTTGAAAAAATTACTAATAATCTCCTTATTCTTTTATTTTATCTAATATTTGACTTTAAACTTCTCTCTTTTACCTTTTTCTATCTTGAATGTCTGTATCTAATAGTTGTCTTAGCTTTTTGTATTTTTTATCTGAAATATCTTTATTTGACATTTTTAAACATTTTTTATCTTGTTTCTATCTTCTAGTTTTTTTCTAAGGTTTGTACATTTACCCTTAGTTGCTTTTTTTTCCTCCTAGTTTTTTTGTTTGTTTGTTTGTTTCCTATTTTGTGGGTTTAAAATTTTTGTCTTCCTACATCTTTTCTATCTTTCTACATCTTCTCTATCTTTTTTTACCTTTCTGTACTTCTGTCTTTAAAGTTTTCCACTTCAAATTTTTAATCTTCTTTATCCAAATATCTTTTATCCTATTATCTTCCCATTTTCATTTTTTTTTTAAGTAATGCTTTTAAGATTAACTAGGCTTCGAATGATGCAATCTTTCCTCCGCCATGAAGGCATCTTAACCACCTTCAATTTAACCTTTTAAAGCCTTTTGTAACTTACTTAGACATTTTACAACTTTTAATTTTACCACAAAAAGATTATCTCATCTAGAAACATTTCTTTTTTCTTTAACCTTTTATATTAAAATATATTTCCACATCTTGAATCTTTTTATATCTCTTTTCTAGCCGTTAACCCTTATAAAATTTCTGATTTAGACAAATTACTCCACTTTAATGAGATGAAATACTTTCATGTTTTTTTTATGGTACTATAATACTATAATTGAAACCCAACTGAAACTTCTTATACTCTTTGTATATAAATTACACCTGATAGAATCTTAACTCTTAGTAACCTTGTTTCAGCAAAGACACAGACACAAAGCAATATTAAACTTTTTTTCCATTTATCAATTTATGAAAACACACATAATGTTTAAATATATTACCTTATGGAACTTAATAAGTAAAGAGTACTTGATTTTATATTTAGTGGTTGATGTTTCAACACTTTAGCTTTGTAAATTAATCAGATGTCTGTAAAAACCAAGATCTTAGACAAGTGTAGTAAACAGAATTAGCCATCTCTTTCTTGTTGAAGAAAAATCTTTTTACAGGATACCATGATGGTCCCATTGTGATATATTTAACAACTCCTCTTTAAAAAGCCATGGGCTACATTTTTGTATTGTATCAACATATGTCCTAACTATTCTTGGTCTTACTGGGGTGCCTCCTTCCTCTAACAATTTCTCTTCCTCGGGGGCGAACAACTTCAAACTTTGAGCCAACCATTTTCCCCAGTTTGCCTGAGAAAGTTCTAGGGACAGGCAACTTGAAATAAAAACAAAATAAATCAAAACAAGAACACATTGTTTTTTGAAATGGTCACCCTTTTTTTTTTTTGCTCTTCCTCAGGGGCAAGCAATTTCACTTACCTCCAAGCTTCAGGCGTTCCCCATATGGGCCACCAAATGCCGCAATCTGGCTGGGCACAAATAACCGAGCCGCCACAAAGCCTTGTAGGTTCAAACAGCAACTCTTTATTCCGGAACTCTCACTGGCACTCTACACACACTTCCCGGGAACACACTCCCTCCACCGGCTCCGTGGGCTCCGTGTGCCAATTCTCACGGAACCCCGTGAGAACTCAACGGGAACTCCAAAGTAGCGGGCGCATCTGCCCTAATCCAAGCAGGATCCGCCCTAATCCACCCCCCCCAGGATCCGCCCTAATCCCAGAGCAGGGTCACCTTTCAACCATTCCCTCTAGCAAAATGCCAGGCATCATTCCTACTAAACTGTGGCTCTCAACATATGATACCCTTTGCTCTATGCAGTATGTACCTTGGAGATTTCAGCTAGCCTTGTAGCATGGATACTAACTTTTTAAAAGACTCCTAGCTAAATTAACAAATGACTATTAAGCAAAAGGCACTATTCTAAGTACTATATATTCAGTGATAACCAAACAGTTCAATCTCACAAAAAGCTTCTTATCTACTAGAAGAGAGAGAGAGGTAGCATATCATTCTGTGGCAGCATTGTGTATTGGAAAGAACACTGGATTTAATCAAAAGATAGGAGTTTGAATCCCGATACCACCTTTTACCAACTGGGTAACCTTGGGTATGAATTGCATAACTTCTCTGAGCCTGCTTTTTCTCAAATTGTCTACCTCACAAGGTTACTGTGAAGAATAAATGAGTGATGGTCTCTGAAGCATCTAGCCCCTGCCCTGATCTCTCTTCCTGAGCTGCATTTCCATCTACATCTCCCCAGTTTGTCAGATGTCAAAATATATCAAAGTCAAAAAAATAATGAATTTTTATGGCCTCTTTTTCTGTTATTACCAATAAATTCTGTGTTATTTACTGATTTCTACTCACTGTACCTCCCATGTTTTCCTGTCATTCCAATTCAAAATGTCAGTGATTTTTGCCTCCTCTTTTTCCTTAACAGATTATGTAATACTGCATTACTAAATCTCTGTTTTTCCTTTGCTTCATCACTTGCCTTTTCTCATTCCATTTCCATAACCCTCCAGTTCCAGTCTTACTCAAGTCATACCAAGAGTTGTACCAGCTTCCTAATTGATCTCCTTCACACCTTTACTATGCAGCCTATTCTTATTATTTCGCCCCATGAAATACCATTCCAATTCTCAAGCCCTTTAATCAGCAGCCTTCATTAATTCCTGCATTGCCAGATAACATCTATTCTCTTGGCTAGCATTGAAAGCTTTCCCCATCCACTCCAGCTTGACTCTAGCCATCTCTCTCATTTAACAAATGACATTCTGATCAATCTCAGTTACTAACCATTCCCTGGTAGTGAACATCTTTGAGCTCTCTTTGACTTTCCCTGCTCTTGCTTATATATTCCTCCATTGTTTTTACTTACTGAACTTTTCCCATCTTTCAGATGTGAAATCTAAAATACAACTAGATCTTTGCTAAATCAAGGCAAAACTCCTAATGTAAACATCACTGACTTTTCAATCTCACCATTGTCTTCCTTCCAGCATCATTTGCCATTTAACAACTTTCTATTGCTGTGCACCAGCTCTAATAAATTACTTGCCTTTTTCCAGACCTACCATTATCTTGCATAATTCCATTTATTAATGTGTGTAGGATGAATGCTGCCGTCCTTGATTTCTTCAATTAGAAGTCACCTCTTTCTTTAGAACTATGGCTAGAATAGGACTTTGCTTATCATGCATGAAATTTAACAGGTACTGCTTTCTCTCATGGCTTTCCAGTGTATTGATTTACCCCTGCCTCTTTAAAGGAGGGGGTTGTACCTTCTATAACTTTGTGCTCTGTGGTGCATTATGTATGTTTAGGTATTAAAATGTTTGATAGTATTACTGTTAAGGTATATTAAACTAGAAACCCAGTGTAACCGAATGCCAACCTCTGCCCTCTGTGACCCAATTTCTCCCTGTGGTGTTCTCTCCTTATTCCAGGTCTCTCAATGTACTTGTTCCTATTGCCTTTTCCTTTTGGCTAACTTCTTCTGGGCCTTCTCTTCACCATCTTCCATCTGGCTGTTGAGGTGACTACTAAACTGGATGCTAATTCAGATCTGAATGTTCACCTTAATTAAGAATGTTGTTCAGGTCAAAAGTTTAAGATTAATTGGAGTTGTGATAACTTGTACTTTTTTATTCCCAGTCCATTTTTGAACTTCCTTTTGGCTCTGAGTCTGCTTGTGGGATTATTAGCCTTTTTTTTTTTTTTTTGGTTTTAGTACTCTTCTAGAAATGTTTTGGGATGAATCTAAGAACTTATAGATTTTTTCCACAATGTATATAATTAGTCCTATGTTTTATATTTAAATTTTATCATTTAAATTAAAGGTTGAAAATCTTATGATGAAAATAAATTTATTTTTCTTTTAACAGTGACATTGTGAGGAAGATTGATCAGTCTGAATTTGAAGGTTTTGAGTATATCAATCCTCTTTTGATGTCTGCAGAAGAATGTGTCTGATCCTCATTTTTCAACTGTGCTTTCTCCTTATGTTGCCATTTAATGCATGGATAAGCTTGTTACCAGCCTGGATACAACTAACCATTTTATATTTGCTACCCCTCCCCCCCCAAAAAAAACAACAACATCTTATAGACTATAAGAATAAATTTATTACATTTAAATATAACTGAAAAAAAATAAAACTAGCTTTCAGACAATCATGTCAAAATTTAGTTGGATTGAATCTTCAGAGGCCGGATGAGTAATGAAATTACCTTTTTAATTTAAAGGAAATAACCACTATTTTAAAACAAATTATCTGTTGCATTAAGGCACATAGTGGGATTACATCATAAGCTCCTCACAATTTTCGTCATTCTCTGTTAATTTGGAATAAAAGGTTAATTCAAAATGCAGCAAATTTTATATTACCTGTTAGTTTCAGAGTTCTTTATGTTTAACATTCAACTATAAGATTTCTCGTTGTCTTGGATAATTATTAATTTTTAAGGCAACAATTACTAAATTGGTAATAAAAGACATTTCCTTAGAATTGGGCATTACAGATTCCTCTAAGTTAAAAAGTAGACATATTAAGAATCAGATTCCAAATCTTCAGCTATTTTTGAAACACTGGCACAAATGATTTTTAATTTTATTTTTTTTAACAATAAGAGATAGTTTTTGAGCTTATCCTTTTAGTGAAAACTTAATGTTAATATATGTGTTCAAAAGACACAGAATGCAGTCAAATGGAAAACTGCTAGGTATATAGAAAGGAAAATAATAGACATTTAAAGTAGATACAGAAAAGTGCAATGGTAATATTTATTTCTTACTGGAGAGTGAATCCTGCAGTTATTCTTTATGATCTAAATAATGAGGAGGCACTCATTTGTTACCAAACTTGTAAAAGCATTCCATTTATTCGGTGGAGGCAGAATGTATAATATTTGTTCCTTATTTAGTATATAGGAAATTAATTTATCTTCTAAGTAGAATGTCTTAACTTCACTAGTTTCTTCCCCCAAAACCACATTTTTGGTACTTTTGGGTCATGTTTATGGAATCCTCAATAAAATACAGAATAAAAAGAAACCAGTAAACATGAATAAATGTTTAGAGCCACACATACACTCAAACTTATCACAGTTCTCTCTCTTTAACTGAGTTTTTATTTAGTAACTAATACATGTAATACAAAGTA